GGAGGGAGGGTGGGTAGGGGATGGTTTGAGGGAGGTAGGGGAGGGGGAGGGTGGGGAGGGAGGGTGGGAGAGGGAGGAAGGGAGGTGGGGGAGGAGTAGGAAGGGTGAGGAGAAGGGTGGGAGGGTAGGGATGGTGTGAGGGAGGGAGGAGGGGAGGAAGGGAGAAAGGGTGAAACGCAGTGAAAGAGAAATAAAGAGGAGAGAGAGAATAAAGAAAGGAAAAGTGGAGAACAAGAACGAAAGCAAAGATAATGAGAAGCAGAAACTGGATCGTAGAGAGACATAGAGATAGGAAGAGATAAGGCACAGAGAGATAACACGAGAGAGAATGGAAGAGAAAGAGAGAACCGGAGAGACGAGGCATGGAAAGAGAGTAAGATGAGCGATAAACGAAGAATCAGGCGGAGAGAGAGAGAGAGAGAGAGAGAGAGAGGAATGAAAAAATAACTCGACGAAGAAAGGAATAACAAATTACTCGATATATGTACAGAAGGACAGGAATAACGAGAAAAGAAAGAAAGAGAGTAAGAGAAAGACAGAGAAGGGACGGAGAGGGTGACACTTATCCAACCCCGAGACCAAAAAAAAAAAAAACTCCCTCAAATCTGAATGAAAATGTTCCTAAATCGGAAAATCTGGGTAATACACGTCTCCAGCAACCTTCGACTGACTAATATATTACATATTGATGGCTTCCGAGACGTGATGCAGGCAGAGAAGCCCTCGGGATGATGGCTGGGGTGTACGACAGTTACGCCGCCGCTGCCTGGAAGTTAATGTTTATACGGTCTCTCGCTGCCGGGCCACACGCGCTGCTGCCAGACGTAGGTTGGAGGCGGCGTACCGGGCGGGCGCTGAGGGGGCAGTCACCTCTCTCTCTCTCTCTCTCTTGCCCCACCGTCATGTGTAATTGTGTCTCCTTGCCCTTCCCTACTTGCCCTTTGTTACCTTTCTGATCTTAATACCAACCACCACTTGCCCATCACCACTCTACATCACCACTTGCCCATCACCACTCTACCCCACCACTTTCTTGCCCATCACCCTCTACCACTGCCCTTGCATCACCACTCTACACCACCACTTGCCCATCCCACTCTACCCACCACATTCTTGCCCATCTCTCTCTACACCACCACTTTCTTGCCCATCACCCACTCACCCATTCTTGCCCATCCTCTACACATTCTTGCCCATTCAACTCTCATTGCCCAAAGAGAAGAGGACAGTAACCCACCCAGTACTACGCCTTCAGTAGCCACTCCTTCAGGTAAACACAGCACGGACTCTTCTTCCATAGTACTAAGTGGTCCGACACAGGTGAGAGTACATTAGTTTACCTGGGCTATTTGCTCCAGTTCCTGTAAGTGCTGTGATGTGTTGTGTACAGGTGAGAGGGGTTAGTGGTGCTGTGTACAGGTGAGAGGGGTTAGTGGTGCTGTGTCAGGTGAGAGGGGTTAGTGGTGCTGTGTCCAGGTGGGAGGGGTTAGTGGTGCTGTGTACAGGTGAGAGGGTTTAGTGGTGCTGTGTAAAGGTGAAAGGGGTTAGTGGTGCTGTGTACAGGTGAGAGGGTTAGTGGTGCTGTGTACAGGTGAGAGGGGTTAGTGGTGCTGTGTACAGGTGAGAGGGTTTAGTGGTGCTGTGTACAGGTGAGAGGGGTTAGTGGTGCTGTGTACAGGTGAGAGGGTTAGTGGTGCTGTGTACAGGTGAGAGGGGTTAGTGGTGCTGTGTACAGGTGAGAGGGGTTAGTGGTGCTGTGTCCAGGGAAGGGCGTTGACGTGAGAATTTAATATCCTGTGTACGTAAATGACATCTTGTTCTGTCCAGTGGACGTCCTTATTACAGTTTGCTGTTGTTGATTGTTGTACTTGCTGGGGTGGTCCTGGGGAGGTCTTCGAAGAGCTGCTGGGGTGGTCCTGGGGAGGTCTTCAGAGAGCTGCTGGGGAGGTCCTGGGGAGGTCTTCAGAGGCTGCTGGGGTGTGGTCCTGGGGAGGTCAGAGCTGCTGGGGTGGTCCTGGGGAGGTCTTCAGAGAGCTGCTGGGGTGGTCCTGGGGAGGTCTTCAGAGGAGCTGCTGGGTGTGGTCCTGGGGAGGTCTTCAGAGAGCTGCTGGGGTGGTCCTGGGGAGGTCTTCAGGAGCTGCTGGGGTGTGGTCCTGGGGAGGTCTTCAGAGGCTGCTGGGGTGTGGTCCTGGGGAGGTCTTCAGAGAGCTACTGGGGTGGTCCTGGGGGGTCTTCAGAGTGCTGCTGGGGTGGTCCTGGGGAGGTCTTCAGAGAGCTGCTGGGGTGTGGTCCTGGGGAGGTCTTCAGAGAGCTGCTGGGGTGTGGTCCTGGGGAGGTCTTCAGAGAGCTACTGGGGTGGTCCTGGAGGTCTTCAGAGAGCTGCTGGGGGTGTGGTCCTGGGAGGTCTTCAGAGGGCTGCTGGGGTGGTCCTGGGGAGGTCTTCAGAGAGCTGCTGGGGTGTGGTCCTGGGGAGGTCTTCAGAGAGCTGGGGGTGTGGTCCTGGTCTTCAGAGAGCTGCTGGGGTGTGGTCCTGGGAGGTCTTCAGAGGCTGCTGGGGTGTGGTCCTGGGGAGTCTTCAGAGCTACTGGGGTGTGGTCCTGGGGTCTTCAGAGAGCTGCTGGGGTGTGGTCCTGGGGAGGTCTTCAGAGAGCTGCTGGGGTGTGGTCTGGGGAGGTCTTCAGAGAGCTGCTGGGGTGTGGTCCTGGGGTACTCAACCCTCACGTTTAAGGCTCAGCCAAACACTGAATATTTTCCACCGGTTCAACTTTCCTCCGCCAGCAAATTTTCCGGTCTGGTTTGCTCCAGTGAAGGTAAATGTTCCCGCCAGGAGAGGAGCAGCGGCCGCGTCAGGTCTTTATCTTCTCACAGCGCCTTGAAAATTGACTCTGGGAAGAATTTTTTACCCAGCGTTTGTTCCTTGCTCTTGTGTGGCATGATTCCGCGGACGTGTAAGGCCTGGTAAGTGTTTCCTGGGCTGGTGGTGGTGTGAGGCCTGGCAAGTGTTTCCTGGCTGTGGTGAGTGTGTGGGTGTGGGCGTGGTGTGTGGTGTGTGAGGCCTGGCAAGTGTTTCCTGGGCTAGTGGTGGTGTGTGAGGCCTGGGGTGTTTCCTGGGCTGGTGGTGAGTGTGGCCTGGCAAGTGTTTCCTGGCTGGTGGTGGTTGTTGGATGCCTGGCTGGGTGGTGTGGAGCCTGATTTCCTGGGCTGGTGGTGGTGTGTGAAGCCTGGCAAGTGTTTCCTGGGCTAGTGGTGAGTGTGTGAGGCCTGCAAGTGTTTCCTGGGCTAGTGGTGAGTGTGTGAAGCCTGGCAAGTGTTTCCTGGGCTAGTGGTGAGTGTGTGAGGCCTGGCAAGTGTTTCCTGGGCTAGTGGTGAGTGTGTGAGGCCTGGCAGATTATTCCTGGGCTAGTGGTGAGTGTGTAAGCCTACAGCAGTGTTCTCCACTCCCAAAACACACTCCCTACACTCACACACCTCCCTACACCTCCTACCCCCACCTCCCCATACACCCCATACACCCCCATACACCCCCATACACCTCCACCTCCCACCTGAAATGTTCCTACCTCGCTGAACACATTGTAAGGCGTGACCTAAATCTTATGACTGCACGAAAGGGTTAAGAAAGCAAGACAGAGGCACTTAAATAATGGCCCTCACTCCTACCTACCTCCCCTTACCTCCCTCTTCTTCCCCTCCTACCCACCTCCCTCTTCTTCCCTTCTTTTCCTCTCCTTCCTCTCTTCCCTGCCTCCCCTACTCCCTCTTCCCTTCCCCCCCTCTCCCTCCCTCCTCTTCTTCCCTAACCCTTACCTCCCTCTATTCTCATCCTTTCCCTCTCCCTTCTTTTACTATCTTCTTCCTTTTCCTTCCCTCTCTTTCCATCTCTCTGTTCCCTCTCTCTCTCTCTCTCTCTCTCCCTCCCTATACATATATTTCAAGTTCTTTTCCCTCCCATTTGCATGTCAGTGTTGTGTTACTGGAGGGGTAGAGGATAGTGGAGGGTAGGAGTGTAGTGGAGGGTAGTGGAGGGTGCAGGAGGGTAGTGGAGGGGGTAGAGGATAGTGGAGGTGCAGGAGTTAATGGAGGGTAGGGGAGTTAGTGGAGGGGGTAGTGGAGGTATAGGGAGTAGTGGAGGGGTAGGGGAGGAGGTAGTGGAGGGGTAGTGGAGGTGCAGGAAGTTAATGGAGGGTTAGTGGAGGTAGGGAGTTAGTGGAGGGTAGTGGAGGTGGGGGAGGCAGTGGAGGTAGTGGAGGGGGTAGTGGAGGTACGGAAGTTAATGGAGGGGTGGGGAGTTTGTGGAAGGGTAGTGCAGGGGTAGGGGAGGTGGTGGTGCAGAGTTAATGGAGGGGTAGTGGAGGGTAGGGAGTTAATGTAGGGGGGAGTTAGTGGAGGGGTAGTGGAGGGTAGTGGAGGGTGGTGGAGTGCAGAGTTAATGGAGGGTGGGGGAGGTAGTGGAGGGTAGTGGAGGGTAGTGGAGGGTGCAGAGTTAATGTAAGGGTAGGGGAGTTAGTGGAGGTAGTGGAGGTGAGGTGGAGGGTAGTGGAGGTGCAGGAAGTTAATGGAGGGTAGGGGAGGTGAGTGGAGGTACGGAAGTTAATGGAGGTAGTGGAGGGGTGGGGAGGTAGTGGAGGTACGGAAGTTAATGGAGGGGTAGTGGAGGGTAGGGGAGTTAGTGGAGGGTAGGGGAGTAGTGGAGGTAGTGGAGGGTACGGAAGTTAATGGAGGGGTAGGGGAGTTAGTGGAGGGGTAGTGGAGGGGTACGGAAGTTAATGGAGGGTGGGAGTTAGTGGAGGGGAGTGGAGGGTAACATCGACAAAGTCTAAAGTCCTTTGATGCACCAGTGTTCAGGAAGGCCTAACTCACTTATCAACAGCAAGATTTTTTATTACAAGTTTGTGAAGTTCCATGTGTGTGTGTGTGTGTGTGTGTGTGTGTGTGTGTGTGTGTGTGTGTGTGTGTGTGCTCAGGTGGAGATTAGTTTAGCTTACAAATATTTCGTGCCTTCATAGACAGATGTTAGCCAGGTGTTGTGAGACGGCCCCTGGAGGACGGCCCCTGGAGGCAGATGTTGTGGAGAGGACGGCCCTGGAGGGACGGCCCCTGGAGGACGGCCCCTGGAGGCGGGTGTTGTGGAGGACAGCCCCTGGAGGACGGCCCTGGAGGCAGGTGTTGTGGAGGACGGCCCCTGGAGGACGGCCCCTGGAGGCACGGTGTTGTGGAGGACGGCCCCTGGAGGACGGCCCCTGGGCAGGTGTTGTGGAGGACGGCCCCTGGAGGACGGCACCTGGAGGCAGGTGTTGGGACGCCCTGGAGGACGGCCCCTGGAGGCAGGTGTTGTGGAGGATGGCCCTGGAGGACGGCCCCTGGAGGACAGCACCTGGAGGCAGGTGTTGTGGAGGACGGCCCCTGGAGGACGGCACCTGGAGGCAGGTGTTGTGGAGGACGGCCCTGGAGGACGGCCCCTGGGACGGCCCCTGGAGGACGGCCCCTGGAGGACGGCCCCTGGAGGCAGGTGTTGTGGAGGACGGCCCCTGGAGGACGGCCCCTGGAGGACGGCCCCTGGAGGCAGGTGTTGTGGAGGACGGCCCCTGGAGGACGGCCCCTGGAGGACGGCCCCTGGAGGACGGCCCCTGGAGGCAGGTGTTGTGGAGGACGGCCCCTGGAGGCGGCCTCACTGCTGTACGCAACATCAATAGTTGTTCCAGACACACTTGGCGCCCGTCCAACACTGGCTGCCTGCTGCTGTTGTCTGCTTTTACTGCTGCTGTTGTCTGCTGTAACTGCTGCTGTTGGCTGCTGCTGTTTTCTTCTGCTACAACTTTTTGGTATCTAATGAGGCTTGCTGCTGCTGCTGCTGCCGCCTATTTTGTTTTGTTCCTGCCTGCTGTCCCCTGTTCCTGCCTATCGTCCCCTGTTCCTGCCTATCGTCCCCTGTTCCTGCCTGCTGTCTCCTGTTCCTGCCTATCGTCCCTGTTCCTGCCTATCGTCCCTGTTCCTGCCTATCGTCCCCTGTTCCTGCCTGCTGTCTCCTGTTCTTGCCTATCGTCCCCTGTTCCTGCTATCGTCCCCTGTTCTTGCCTATCGTCCCCTGTTCCTGCCTATATCGTCCCCTGTTCCTGTCTATCGTCCCCTGTTCCTGCCTATCGTCCCTGTTCCTGCCTATCGTCCCTGTTCCTGCCTATCGTCCCCTGTTCCTGCCTGCTCTGTCTCCTGTTCTTGCCTATCGTCCCCTGTTCCTGCCTATCGTCCCTGTTCCTGCCTCTCGTCCCTGTTCCTGCCTATCGTCCCCTGTTCCTGCCTATCGTCCCCTGTTCTCTTCATCGTCCCCTGTTCTTGCCTATCGTCCCCTGTTCCTGCCTATCGTCCCCTGTTCCTGCCTATCGTCCCCCGTTCCTGCCTATCGTCCCCTGTTCCTGCCTATCGTCCCCTGTTCCTGCCTATCGTCCCCTGTTCCTGCCTATCGTCCCCTGTTCCTGCCTATCGTCCCCTGTTCCTGCCTATCGTACCCTGTTCCTGCCCGCTGTGACCTATTGCCAGTCTTAAGTTAGGAAAATAGCATCAAATAAGAGTAGAGTCTCAGTGCAAATTCTCCCCCATCTCCCAGCCATTAACTCTCATAAAGGATTAAATAAAACCTAACATCACACAGTTGTTCTTATTTATTTACTTATTTATTTGTTTGTTTATTTATTTATTTATTCACAAATTAAAATCGTGAGAAAGACAAATAATTTGTAAATTTAAATGAGAGAAAAAAAAATTACGAAACATTTTGCACTCATTTGACCAGGTAGTTGATGACGTCACGCGAGGTAGGGGACAGAGAAGAGGATCTTGTTAGTCAGTTAGGTCAGTCAGTCAGTCAGTCAGTTAGTTAGTCAGTGAATCATATACGTGAATCTTAGCATTACTCACGACTAAACGAATCACAGACACGGACCAGGAAACTCGGTGAATCACGGACATGACTCGTGAATCACCAATACTCTGGACCTGTTGTGGATTTTCATTCATATTTTTCTTAAAGTTCTGAACTGTGGTGAGGGAGAAGGAGGAGGAGAGGGGGGAGGAGGAGGAGGAGAAAGACAGAGAGAATGAGGGGGGAAGGGGGAAGGGGGAAGAAGGGGATGAGGGGGGGAGGGGAGGAAGGGGGGAAAGGACTCACACTCAGTATAATCTCCCTATAACAGTAATGACCTGGGAGGCGTCGAATTATAGCAGCGGTGACACCTTGATGACGGTGGGAGGCAGGGAGAGAAAGGAAGGGAGAGAGGGTATGGAAGGACACTAGGGAAGGGAGAGATTAAGGGAGAGGAGGGTAGGGAAGAAGGGAGGGAAGTGAGGGAAGGAAGGGAGGAAAGTATTTATACACCAGAGACGAATCGACATAAGTTGTGTAAAGGGAAGACCCATTAAATAAAAGATTTGCATATATAGTAGAGCTCGGGGTGATGGTGAGAGCTGGTGGGGGCTGGCTAAGGGCTAGTGAAGGGCTGAGGGCTGGTGAAGGGCTAATGGAGGAAGGAGAGGAGATAAAGACTAAGTGAACGAGAACAGAAGATGGTGAGATTTGGAAGGAGGGAAGTGGGGAGGGAGGGAAGGAGTGGGGAGGGAGGGAAGGAGTGGGGAGGGAGGGAAAGAGTGGGGAGGGAGGGAAGGAGTGGGGAGGGAGGGAAAGAGTGAGAAGGGTAAGAGGGAGGGAGGAGGGTAGTAGGGAGGGAGAGAAGGTAAGATAGAGGAAGATACAGGTGTGACGCCCCTACAGTTTACTCCACCAGGTGTTGGTGTCGAGGGTGACACCTGTACTCCTCCTCGAGGGTGTAGTGGCCTGGCAGGAGATTAATGCTGTATCGCTGTAACTCTACTCACCTGCTGTAATGGTGGAGTTATATTACAGGTATAAAACTGTAATTCTGTTCCAAATTTCTCTCCGGGGTCCCTCTCATAACCTGACCCAACCAGTGAGCCACACACACACACACACACACACACACACACAGAAGGGCTATACAGTAGGTCTATCTATGTCTTGAGGCCCTCGCCAGTTTGTGTAACATTAATAAACAGTAGAGTCAGGAGGCTGGTGGCTTCATAACATGTATTCAGAGTGTTGTTGGTTAGTGCCCGGGGCGTCCTCAGTCCACCCAGCTGTGAATGGGTACCTAACATTGCAATTGGAGAAATGTGTACTGACAGAAGCTGATAAGGTTTAATGTATGGTCTGCGCATTGCCTCTACAGCATCATCCCCCCCAGGTCTATGGGCTCCAATTTCAATCATCTGTAAACAACCACAGTGAAGAGTTACCGTGTGGCCTTTAAACAGAGAACACAGGAACAAAAATAGTCATTCCCAACACCAGACAACAAGTATTAAGGAAGAGGAAATATATCACCCCAGGTGTTGCCGCCGTGTAATCGTCTCAGTGGACAGATTCTTTAGGGAGTTTCGTTCATTCACGGAGGATGACGACCGGGAAATTTATCTACAATATAATTTACCTTTACATAAAACCCCTGAGCAACAGTCAAAATATTTATTAGTCATTAGAGTGAATATTTGTTCGTTATAAACATCAAGGAGAAAAAATAAACGGGCTTAACTTCGACGGACGCAAAACAAAGAAAACGGGTCAAATGTTTACGAAAAAAATGAAACAAAGAAAACGCGTCCCACAAGAGCGTAGACTCCATTACTGGAATTAGACGACACGTTTTCCCACCGATGCCAGGTTGACCGCATTCATTATTTAATATAATTGTCCGTGGAATGCCTTGTTATTGTGGCGCCCTTTACAGAATTTCCTCTATAAAGAAGCACTCGCGGTCTTTATTAGGGTCATATTACAGGGAACCACAATTTAGGTCTCTTTTGATAGTTTTAAAGGGATGACTATGAAGATGTTTTTACCGGAAATTTCCCACAAAAGTTACACCAACAAACGTGACTCAGAGGAAATGAATTACCTTTATTTCTCTTTCATATTTATTAACATATTTTTTTTAACCTATTTGTATATTTTATCAGTAGGTCTAGTAAATATGGTTAAATTGTATTAGGTAAAGTTTTAGAAGTGCATTAGTGATGTTAGATTGGCACAAATTCTGGATGAGTCATGATTTATAGCTGCAGTATAATGCCTTTGTTTCTCCTGTGTGTGTGTGTGTGTGTGTGTGTGTGTGTGTGTGTGTGTGTGTGTGTGTGTGTGTGTGTGTGTGGTCCACCGACACACACACACACACACACATATTTCACGTTAATTTTCTTCTTTTTTTCTCTATCTTTCTCTGTCACTATCTCTTTTACCGTATCCTTTCTATCCTTCTCTCTCTCTCTCTCTCTCTCTGCCGTATTACCCTTAACCTTCTTGCTGGTCTTGCTATTGGTCATCACAAACAAGTACGAGTGATGCTTCAGTTTATTGTGAGTGAGTGAGTGAGTGAGACGCCTCTAAGCTTCAGTAAACTTGAGAATGAGAGCGGTGAGGCAGGTGTGGTCACTCTGGCTCATATTGATGAAGGATTTTTATCGTACACTGCGGCTTTGTTGAGTGTGCATCCCAGGGTCCATACGCATCCTGTTGGCGCGAAGTGGATTAGTAGAGGTCACAGAGGGTGTTATCAGGCCCCCAAGAGTTATGTACCAGTGTGTGAGGGCGAAGCAGGGAGGAAGAGGAGGAGATGCTAACGTTGACAGGTCCTCCCTATGCACCTCACCCACACACACAACACCTCACATCAAGACGCAGGTGAGCAAAACACGATGACGATTTACCAATAACTATGTTCATATTAGACCAACTCCACCAACACCTTCACTACGGGGATGCCACTCAGCAACTGCCAGATGGTTTTATTCAGCTTAGAGGGGATCCCTTACACAAGAGGTTAATATCGTTAGACGGGCGTGATGATCTGTGTATGTTAACAATAGGACGAAGACAGATAAGCTGAGGCAGAATCCGTGTCGTGGATGACCTGACCTTCGTGGATGACCTGACCTTACTACTTTAAATAAATGAGTACAGTATATAGAATAAAGTTAATATTGAAGAAATCATTGATAAAATTGGCTTAATACTGCAAAAAAATATCGTAGTTTTCAGGAATTTTGATTTCTTTTTGTGCAAATTTTGGTCGATTTTCGTTTTTAAAGATTTTCTACATAGTAAATTTATGTGTGTAGTAATTCAAGTGCATTTTGTTTTCTTTTTCGTCATCAGATGATATAGGTTGTGGCCTAAAGGATTTCTGTTTGTAATTAAGACAAACAGTTTCCTATTACTCATATTATATAACAACACCCTAGAATTACTAACTATAAAACACGTTAACATTAATTATATAACTAGTAGCGGGTAAAGAAGGGGTTATATTATTTATTTAGCTCTCACCCAAGGCCTCGAGAGCCAGCCAGACCTCGAGAGTCAGCCAGACCTCGAGAGCTAACCAGACCTCACCCTCAGTCAAGGACAAGCTGAAGCACCAGTCTTTTGAGGAGAGACTTGAGAGAGCATCTTACCCTGGCTGTGTGGAGAGACGGGAACTCATTAATATTCAGTCATGCAGTTGGATTTATTTACTTCCTTGAGAGATAAATTATATGGTCTAAAATAATTCAAATCGTTTAAAAAAAAAAAATCATTCTGTCTGTTTCATTAAGCTCTGATGTGGAATTAAAGGTAAAATAT